ACACGGGCTGCCAAGTTGATGATTGCAGACCTTAATGATGATTTAGGGGAAGACATTCGTTCCCTCAGACGTGATCTCGCCGATCTCCGCAAATATGTGAGGGATGAGGTACGAGGTTTACGCTCTCAAATGGATGAGATTCGTCATGAATGGGATTCTCATCACTGTGTGAGTAGCCCTATTAGTGGTAGTACTTCAAACGCCACTTTTCAGGGTCTGAAAGTGCCTAAGCCGGCCATGTACAATGGGGCTCGTAGTGCTACAATTGTGGAGAATTTTCTCTTTGGCCTAGAACAGTACTTCGAGGCCATGGGAGTCTCTAACGACTCGATCAGAATCAACAATGCTTCAACTTTTCTCCGGGATGCAGCCCAACTATGGTGGCGCAGAAAGCATGCCGAACGAGAAAAGGGCCTTTGCACTCTCAACACATGGGAGTTGTTCAAATCAGAACTCCGCAAGCACTTTGTTCCCCACAATGCTGAGACAGAGGCTCGAGGTAAGCTTTGTAGATTGAGACAAACTAGTAGTATTCCTGACTACATCAAAGAGTTTACTACCATCATGCTCGAGATCGAGGACCTGTCCGACAAGGAGGCTCTTTTCTACTTCATGGACGGACTTAAAGACTGGGCGAGAGTAGAACTGGATAGACGCAAAGTGCAAACTCTAGATGAGGCAATTGCTGCTGCTGAGTCTATAATCGACTACTCCACCAAGTCCAAAAAGCCTAATCCTGGTAGTAGTGGAGGAGACAAAGGAGGACAAAAGAAGAATTTCGATCGTAAGGATGGTGGTAGATTCTTTGGTGGGAGTTCTAGACAGGATAAACCACCCTCAATCAGGCGTGATGCCTCAAAGCCACCGAGGCCATGCTTCGTGTGTGATGGTCCACACTGGACTCGGGACTGCCCCAACCGCAAGGCTATGAATGCCTTGGTTGCTGAGATGAAAGAAAGCCGGGACAAGGAGCAACAGATCGACCTTGGTTCCCTCCAACACTTGAATTCCTTGACTGGACTCTTTTCCCCATCTAAGAAGGAAGAGAAGGGTCTACTTTATGCTGATCTTGCCATTCAAGACAAGTCCGCCTCTGCCATGCTCGACACAGGAGCATCCCACAACTTCATGGAGGCTGAAGAAGCTAAGAGATTGGGTATCCAACTCAACAAGGGAGAAGGCACCATCAAGGCAGTGAACTCCCCAGCCAAACAAGTCCTTGGGATTGCCAAGGATGTGAAGGTGAAGATCGGGGACTGGCAAGGTACGTTAGACTTTACTGTTGTCCCTATGGATGATTTTAAAGTTGTATTGGGACTTGCTTTCTTTTGCAAAGCACATGCCTTCCCTATTCCTGAAGCCAAGTCTATGGTGGTCATTGACTCCAACATGATCCGGGTAATCCCCTTGAAACGCTTGGAGAAATCCAACCCTATGATTTCTGCCTTGCAATTCAAGAGGGGTCTCAAGAATTCAGAAGGGTATATTGCCACTGTACGTTCATTGGCCGAGGAAGAGGATGGCCCAACCAAGCCACGGGAAACCTTGCCAACTTGCATCCAAGAGGTGCTACAGGAGTACAAGCACGTCATGCCTGATGAGTTGCCTAAGAAACTACCCCCTAGAAGAGAGGTAGACCATCAGATTGAGTTGGAGCCTGGTGCCAAACCACCTGCCTTGGCACCTTACCGCATGTCACCTCCAGAACTTGCAGAGTTAAGGAGACAACTGCAAGATCTCCTTGATTCAGGATATATTCAACCATCTAAGGCCCCATATGGTGCTCCAGTCCTTTTCCAGAAGAAGAAGGATGGATCGTTGCGAATGTGCATCGACTACAGGGCCTTGAACAAGATTACTATCAAGAATAAGTACCCGATACCTTTAATTGCTGACTTGTTCGATCAGCTTGGAAAAGCCAGGTACTTCTCTAAGCTTGATCTCCGATCCGGGTACTATCAAGTACGCATCGCCGCAGGTGATGAGCCGAAGACAACCTGCGTGACGAGATATGGAGCATTTAAGTTCCTTGTCATACCCTTTGGACTGACGAACGCCCCAGCAATGTTCTGCACGCTCATGAACAAGTTGTTCCACCCTTACTTGGACCAGTTCGTGGTGGTATACTTGGATGACATCGTGGTATATAGCAACACTCTTAAAGAGCATGCTCAACACTTGAAGAAAGTCTTCCAGGTACTCTCTGATCATGAACTTTACATTAAGCTGGAAAAATGTTCTTTTGCCAAACAAGAGGTGGACTTCTTGGGGCACAAGATTAAGGATGGAAAGCTCATAATGGACCCAACTAAGGTTCAAGCCATCCAAGAATGGCAGCCTCCTACCAAGGTCCCAGAGTTAAGATCATTCCTTGGTCTGGTGAACTACTATCGGCGGTTCATCAAGGGGTATTCAACTATCACTGCTCCATTAACAGATTTGCTCAAGAAGAATAAGTCTTGGCTATGGTCACAAGATTGCCAAGATGCTTTTGAAAAGCTCAAGCAGATGGTCGCGCAAGAGCCTGTTATGTCCTTGCCCGACTACTCCAAGCCGTTTGAGGTACACACTGATGCCTCAGACTTTGCAATAGGGGGCGTGTTAATGCAAGAAAGGCACCCTATTGCGTACGAGAGCCGCAAACTCAATGACACAGAGAGACGCTACACGGTGCAAGAAAAAGAGATGTCTGCCATTATCCATTGTCTACGAACCTGGCGTCATTACTTACTTGGGAGTAAGTTCACTATTATGACAGATAATGTTGCTACGAGCTACTTCCAAACACAAAAGAAGCTCAGCTCGAAGCAAGCTCGCTGGCAAGATTTTCTTGCTGAGTTTGATTATCGGTTGGAGTACAAGCCAGGCAAAGCAAACGTAGTGGCGGATGCCTTAAGCCGGAAAGCCGAGTTAGCCACTCTCTCAGCAAGCATGCCCCAGAATGACTTCCTTGAACGAATCAAGGAAGGTATGTCTCAGGACTCATCTGCAAGCAACTTAGTAAAGCTTGCTACTGAAGGCAAGACTCGAAGATTTTAGGTGAATGATGGAATACTCTACACCATTGGGAACCGAGTCTATGTGCCGAAATGGGGCAACCTTCGAAGGGATGTCCTAAAAGAGTGCCATGATTCCATGTGGGCCGGACATCCAGGTATGGCACGAACACTTGCTCTCGTACAAAATCATTTCTATTGGCCACATATGCAAGATGATGTTGAAGCATATGTGAGAACTTGCTTAGTGTGCCAGCAAGATAAGGTTGAACAACAACATCCTGCTGGTCTACTCGAACCTTTGCCGGTGGCTGAGAGACCATGGGAGAGTGTCTCCATGGACTTCATAGTTGCTCTCTCTAAGTCTGAAGGATGTGGGAGTATCATAGTGGTGGTTGATAGATTCAGCAAATATGCCACCTTTATACCAGCCCCAGCAGATTGCAAGGTTGATGAAGCAGCACGCTTGTTTTTCAAGCATGTCGTGAAGCTATGGGGGATCCCTCGCAACATCGTCAGTGATCGAGATCCCCGATTCACCGGGAAATTCTGGAGAGAACTTTTCAAGCTCTTGGGGACAGATTTGAACTTCTCAACAAGCTTTCACCCTCAGAGCGATGGACAAACGGAGCGAATCAACGCTTTATTAGAGCTCTACCTTCGCCACTATGTGAGCGCTCATCAACGAGATTGGGCTAAGTTGCTCGATGTGGCCCAATTCTCTTACAACTTGCAGCGAAGTGAGTCGACAGGTAAGACCCCTTTTGAGATAGTTACCGGACAACAACCTCTAACCCCCAACCCACTTGCCACTCCATACAAGGGAGACAATCCAGCTGCCTATAAGTTTACCAAAGAATGGCAAGAAGAAGCCGACATTACTCGTGCATGCCTGGATAAAGCTTCTCGAAAAATGAAGAAGTGGGCAGACAAGAAGCGGCGCCCCATTGAATTTCAAGTAGGTGACTTGGTCATGGTTAAGTTATTACCGAATCAATTCAAGTCACTACGCAAAGTCCACAAAGGCTTGGTCAGGAGATATGAAGGCCTTTTCCCTATCATTAAACGTGTGGGAAAGGTTGCGTACCAGGTACAACTCCCTCCCAGGCTTAAGATTCATCCTGTCGTCCATGTTAGTCTCTTGAAGAAATACTATGGAGATGAAGAAGATCCATCTCGAGGTATCTCTAAGAGAGCACCGACAGCGGTCATCACTGAGTACAACAAAGAAATAGAAGAAATCCTTGCCGACAGGGTGATCAGAAAGAGAGGAGTTCCCAACTATACTGAGTACTTAATCAAGTGGAAGGGTCAACCAGACTTTGAAGCTAGTTGGGAACGTGAAGACGTCCTGTGGCAGTTCACTGACCAAATCCAACGCTACAAGGAGGAAGGCGCGACGAGGGCGTCGCGAAATCAAGTGGGGGAGAATGTCACGTTTCGTCATTTTTCACAAGGTTAAAGAGGTCCGGAATGCTCCAGAACCCTCCAGAAGGCTCCCAGCTAACCTTAAGAGTGCTAGATAGTGCAAGAACATTCTAGAGAAACCTACACAACTCTAGCCTCAATATTTTAATATTGTCTCTAGATTCTTCCATTAAAATATCTAGATATTTGTTAAGAGAATTCTAGAGAATCAATTGTAACCGTAGGATAGATTTAATCTCCACCGTCCATTAAGGAGGTGGGAACATTCTAGATCCAAGGGGAGGTCTATAAATACCTCACCCCTCCTTATTTGTAAATCATCCTTGAGTTCTCAAAGCTATAGAACTCTCACATTCTCTCTCTACTCTCCTTTGCCTTCAAGCTTTCCCTTTCTTCTTCTTAGCCAAGCATCCTCCTTTCATACGAGTTAGGCTTACTTAGTAACTTTCAGTGAAAGTTGTCTAAGTGCCGCACGGGTCGAAAGACTAGCCCGTGACATAAGGCTTTGAATTAATTCAATTACAAGGAAAAGAAAAAAGAAAGAAAATATGGGGATGGGCGAGGGGGGGGGGGGGGAACCAAAATCTATGATGAATCCACAATCCATGCGCATATACTGACCCTGCCAGCTTGGCTCATCATCACTCTGTATGCACGAAATCCAAAGTCACAAACTCTCTGTGCGTCTCAAGATTGAGTGACTGTATCATTGATGACCATGTCTTCGGACGACGAGTGTGGTGAAGAGTATCTCTTCAAAATCGTCATCATCGGTGACTCCGCTGTTGGCAAATCCAACTTGCTCTCCCGGTATGCTCGCAATGAATTCAATCCTCACTCCAAGGCCACCATAGGCGTCGAGTTTCAGACACAGAGCTTAGAAATCGATGGCAAGGAAGTCAAGGCTCAGATTTGGGATACCGCTGGCCAGGAGCGATTCCGAGCCGTCACCTCTGCTTACTACAGAGGCGCTGTTGGTGCTCTCATTGTCTACGACATAACCCGGAGAACCACATTCGAGAGTGTCGGTCGCTGGCTTGATGAGCTCAAAAGTAAGTATTGTAAGATGCAATGCCTGATGATTTGACCTGTGGGCCTTATCTGCTTGTTATTTCCCAGTTGATTGAATGACTGTTCTAATAGATCTGAGCTTTATGATGAGTTTAGTTGACTTCATTCAGAAGAAAGCCAGCACTGAAACTGTTTGAGAAGGAAACAGGATAAAGGGAAAGGAAAAAGCTCTTTGCTTCTAAATTCAGGAACCCATCCTGTCAAACATTTTTCTTGATAACATTAACACTCGGCAGCAGCATCAATTTTCTTAGATACGTTGCAAAATGGCCTGTAAAGTAGGGGCTGCAAATTTTCCTCTACAGATAATTGGATGTAGTTCTAATCGTAATCTTACACAACTGAATTCTAAAATTTTGAACTTACACAGAAGATTCGGTGGGGCACTACTTAAAAGTTAAAACTGTGGGCAAAGGGTTAATATGTTAAGGGACTGTGAATAGATGGAGCTAATCTCGAGATGATGCCATTGGTCAATTTCCGATTCCATATTGACATTGTATTCTATTCTGGTATATGATTGGATTGGATCTCTTGACACTTTTGGTTGAAAAATTCTTTCTCTGTCTTTGTCTTTGTCTGCTTTACGATACCGGTTACCAACTATCACTGCTTGCGATTGTTTCTCTTTTCTCTAACTATTCTATACAATTAGGACAAAAATTCAATTCATGTACTGCAACTACCTTCGATTAGGCGAGGCATATATAAATAAGAAGCAGCCTGTAGATTCTTCTCTGGTTTTATGGGGGCTGCATTGTAGTTAAAGCATCACCTTTACTTTTATAGTTTATCAAGTGTATTTTATCTTAATACAAAATATCACCTGCAGCATGTAGGAAGGTTCTGCTAAAATGGTAGGACCACCAGTAAAGTGCCTTCCATTAGAAGGTTTTCACAAAGGTGCAAAATGCAAATTAACGGGATTGAGTATTTTTAAGATCGGGTTGTGGACATTTATATTCCATGACATCTCACAGCAGAGGCATCCTTTAAAATTTTTTAACCCTAGTTCAAGTAAAAAGTTTTGGCATAATCCTAGAAGCAAGTTAACAAATACAAAGAGGGTATTCCTGTATTTGCTATATCATCCCGAAATGGTGACAAAGTTGCTAAGTTCCGGCATTTTGTACCTCTACTGTATGTAAAGTCCTCAGTCAAGACCACATATAAGCATAGTTAATGGCAGATGTGTGCTGGATACTTATGAAGAATAGTTAATCTTTCCACTTGAGCTTTATCTCTATGGTAGCCTGCCTTTCCACAAAAGTTGAGGGAGCAGTTTGGGCCCCCAGTTCCCCAGCTAGCAATATTTTGCCACCTAATGAACCCAAAAAAAGAGAAAAAGATGAAGGAGAACAACAACAGTTAACCTTGAACTATTTTTCTCTAGCTGTCAACATTTTAAGCCTTTGGTTCACTAACTTCATATTTCTTTGTTTGTTCTTTTGCTGTTGCGAGGTCTTTATTTTTCCAAGTTTGTCTGCTATTTCCTTACATTTATTGTTAAATGTCAACGTGTTTGTGGACTTTGTGATCCTTTAAGGTGGGACCGTTTGTAAGTTAATGAATGCTTAGAAGTTTCATCTGAAAGAGGAAGAAAAAACTAACGCCTAGAAGTAAATTGATCTGATGTACTGCTTTGGTAAAACATGTTGATTTTGCGCTCTATTATTAAAATTTAGATTTGGCTTGTTAATTTTTTGAATCCTTTTCGTCTTGCATTTAGTTATTTTTTGGTTGGAGCTTTTCTTTTGGTTGCATTTAGATTTTTACCCTCTAGTACTCTGCATGTTGTCTTGCTTCTGTCATTATCCTGGTATGTGCTCTCATTTTTAGTTGATGACTCCATCATTACACTTAATTTTTCTTGCGATAAAAAATCACAAGTATATGGTTTTCACTTGCACCTATTGTTCTAGCGATCATGCTGAATAAAGTTATGGCATATATTTTGTATGCATGTCTAGAGTAATCATCTTGACATGCTAACTGTGGTGCAATGTTTTTTGTGATTAAAAAAAGTTTTCAACTGATAATTTGTCATCAAGAATGCAATGAATTGTCAAGGAAAAATCTCCTGTCCCTTTCTCCATCCATTTTCTTCTTCTGAATAGAAGTTTCATGTATCCTGCATTTTGTGGAATTCTCATAGTTTAAGCTTACCACGACTATTATGCAGCGCATTGTGATACATCTGTGGCCATGATGCTTGTGGGCAACAAATGTGATTTGGTGGATATCCGGAACGTGAGTGTTGAGGAAGGCAAAAGCCTTGCTGAATCAGAAGGTTTATTCTTCATGGAAACATCAGCATTAGACTCGACAAATGTTGACACAGCTTTTGAGATGGTCATTCGTGAGATATACAACAATGTCAGCAGGAAGGTCCTCAATTCCGATACCTACAAGGCAGAGTTGTCAGTCAACAGGGTGAGCCTTGTTAACGATGGGACCAACGCATCAAAGCAATCCCGAGGCTATTTCTCTTGCTGCTCAAGATGACCTTCATCCTTACTTATATACAACTTGGTTTGTTAATTCAATTTGGCGGTTTGTTGGTTGGTTGATCAAATGGGTTGGCTTGTTCCTTAATGGACATGATATAAGTTGAAAGGTTCTTTGGTTAAAAAAAAAAAAAAACAAGATATGATACAGAAATGAAATTGTTATCTTCAGCTGTAAGCTTGCAGTAGCAATTTTCAACAAATAAAAGGGACAGTTATTTTTTTAATATGTCTAGAGAAAATTTCAAGTGATATCTACTGTCTACTCAGCAAAATTTTGGTTTCACTAAAGAAGAGCCTTCTGAGGTCTAAAAGAAAATATTTTTTTCCCGCCCTCCCTTCGAAGTTCTTTTAAATTTTGTTTTTTTCTCTCCCCGTAGAATAGTAATTTCTGGGAGTTCAAACGAGGTCGAAGCTGGAAAGTATCCAGATCCAAATTTGCAGGGCTTCAGGGATGTGCCACATAGCAGTAGACCGACCATCTCATTTTCAAGAAAGGCTTTAAAGGTTATGAGAAATTGCCAAATCCACTACCCTAGTGTTGCCAAACCAGTTCAGCCGCAAGAATTATTAGCGCATAGAAATGTTTCATACCCCGTGAAGGGCCATAATCTTGCCCACAGTTTTTCTCCCAGATATTTGTGTTGAAATTTAGCTCCATCCATTTAGCTCTACTTCTTTATACACAATTCATTGAACTATCTAACTGCTTTCATACTAGAGAGCATTATTCTTTCTTTGTTCTCTATGGTTGTCTTGGAGGACTGTAACAGTGTAACTTTTCCAACGTATTATATACTTTTGGATCCTTTACAGCGGTGATGTATTCCTATAGCCTATGGGAGGGGGAGGGAGAGTAATACAAAAAAATGGAAATCTATGAGGTTTGTTTCATTTATTTCTATATATGCAGAAAATTATTTCATGTAAAGGCTAAATTTAAATATGCATCGAAAGTCACAAACTCTAATTTTAAAGACATCGAATCAAGCCGAATTTCAGATGTTGGTTTGCTGATGCATCGAAGAAAAATTGGCGTTTCTTTTATTTTTATTTGTTTGCCTCTTCTTGTAAGATTGTTGACGTTCCCCCACCCCCTCCCTGCTCATGTCATGATTATATATCAAAGATAACATTAAATCCTAAAATTTGACATAGAGTGAATGGTATTGGATGTTCAAATCAAATTCATTACACGGACAGAAAACTTCATGATCATCTGTTCATCACAAAATGAAACAAGCGTTACCTATTGATATACATACATACATATATATATATATATATATATAATCGGAGAATCGAGTGGATCACCTACATCAATATAAAATTTTAAATTTGTATTATAGTATGCCATCTATTAGTATCAACCATACAACTCATTTTTTAAATTATATACAATACATTAAAAATTTTTACTTTATATTTTAGGAATAATGTAACTTTTAGTCTTAATTTTTTTTTCAATTACTGATTTAGTTTTTTAAATTTTGACTCAATAAACTTATTCCTTGCAGTTTATAAGGGTTGAGTTTTAAAAATTGTAAAGACTAATTATTTGAAGTTAAAGTTGAAAAATTGAATCAATGATTGAGAACATTTTTAAAAATTATATTTTTCCTATATTTTATAATCAAATTACAAAAATATTCATACACCCACTTATCTTTCTTTTGTTTTTGCTAAGTGGTTCTTGCAATAAAACTCTAGGTGGAGGGTCAACTGTAGGTGAAAGACATGATTGTCAACCCAGCAAGAGCCAACCGACCCATCCCTCCCTCAGATCCACCACCAGAAAGGAAAATCTATAGAAAATGAGAAGAAGAAAAATGACCCTCAAAAGAAAGCTGAAATAGAAATCCATTTCTGTCACGAACTACCACACACAAAGATTTAAATATATCAACATATCTACTGAAAGCTGGGGCAGAGAAGGAAAGGGAGTGAGATATGAACTAAAGATAAGCTGGCCCATCATGACTCTAGTGACAGCATATGATTGCCTCAGCAGCAATTTTAATCTTCTAGAAGCTTTTTTGCAACTAAAGAATTAGCAATGAACCTTTCTTTTCAGCTCCTACTACTCTGATTGCTCCCAGAGGATGTAGATTGAAAAGGATACTATCCTATTCTTATTTTTTATTTTTCAGATATTTTCTTTTCCTTTTCCCTATTACTGTTGAGATCTCCAATATCTTCCCATCTCAAACCCGTTCTTACAATATTGATAGTCCTCTATGGTTTTTTCAATCTCAGACTGCGTGTTCATCACAAAGGGTCCATACTGAACCACCGGTTCATTTAGTGGCTGGCCAGCAATCAACACAAACCTCAGAGGCTTTGAAGATCTGTTCCACACACTCAGACCATCTCCAAGGCTCAAGACCAGCACATAGTGAGCTGCCACTGGTGAAGAACTCACAGACCCAAAAACCCCTTCCCCTTCAATCACATAAACAAAGGCGTTCCATGATTCTGGAATGTTCTGATGCCGTTCAGCTCCTGGGCTGAGAGAGAAATCGAGGAACATGGTTGGGGTTCTGGTGTAAACAGGTGAATGAACTCCCATTGCTTCTCCTGCTATAACCCTCACTTCAACCCCATGTTGTCCTGCCTCTGGTATGTCCTCTTTTGGAAGTTCTTGATAATTTGGTTCAATCCTGAAATAAAAATTCCAATCCCACTATTATTCTTGTCACACAGCTTTGAGTTAAAACAAGACCCATATCAGTTCAGGTGTTCAAGTTTTGGTAATTTCGCAGTCAATGGATCAGAATCATTAATTACATCTTATCCTTGGAAGATAAATTGATCCATAGCTGCAATCCCTTGTGGGTTCCTTCTCCTCCGGGCATTTCAGAGTGAATTATTCCTCGGCCTGCGGTCATCCACTGCACATAAATTACAAAAGGAAATACGCAGTGAAGACAACCTGGCTCATCATTCTTGCTGATATATAAATTTTCCGGGGAAGGAAAAATGGAAAAGAAAGTATCATGCATAGACGTCCCTTACCTGAACATCACCGGTTCTAATTGTACCCTTGTGCCCAGCAAAATCTTGATGAGTTATGGCTCCCTGGAATCAGGAGGGGCAAAAGAATAGAGTCATGTAGCTGTAGTTTTCACTTCTCACCCATGCGGTTAAAAACATCAAACACGTCGTAGGAACATGTAACTAAATATACCTGCAGCATGTATGTGACAGTTTCAAAACCTGCAAGCGATGTGTGAATCAAACAAAATATTAGGAAACGTATTATATATAGGGATCTAGTAGCGGAAGAAATTGAAAACGGAGTAGAGAACAAATAGAAGGGAAATGGAATATAGTGGAAAACCTCTGTGTGGATGGTCGGGGAAGCCTCCCGGTGGAGACACTGCAAAACAAAGTCAAACAGGCCACACGGTTTTAAAATACTAATAATAATAATAATAATATCATGAACCGACAGCAACAGAACAAAATAAATAATGAAATGTGTGTCAGCCAAAGTGGGCTTGGAAGAGCCGAGTAAGGCCAGAAACGTACCAGAGAAGTGATCCATCATCAGAAAGGGATCCAAACTCTTCAACTCGCTCCTGATAACGAGATGAAATGAGAAAACTCAATCAATACCCATTTGAAGAAAAAGAGAGAAGAAGAAAACCAATAAACACGGAATGCCCCCAGAAAAGGAAATCCAAGAAATGAGGTTTCAGACATAAGGAAGCTAGCGAGACACGAATACCTTCCGATGCCTCTTCTAACAACAGCACCGTCGCCTTCATGTTGAGATTTGGCCAGAACCTTCTTGAGAACCAGCCTGGGCGTTTCGAAAACGGAAGGTTGATCTGAGTGTGACATGAAGGCGGAGAGTTTGGATGAAAGTGCAGAGGCGGCACGGGACGAAAAAGAATGCGGCGGCCAATTGAACAGTGAAAAGCTGTGGCTGATGGTTCTCATAAACAGTATTTGTGGGGCGCGAGAGTAGATTGCAAGATGAGTGCTGGGCGCTGGCGAACGAAGATAGATACATGAAAAGCAATTGTAAGCATAAGGTGTTTATATATAGAGAGGGAAGGCGAGAATGTTGAGAGAGGGATGGGGGCGCAGGAAAGAGGCGTGTTAGTTGGGTCTGACATTTTGGAAGTTGGATGGATCGGAGGGGCGTGTGAGAAATTCATTTCCATGTGGGCTCCGCTTTCTATCCTTGGACCAATCATATTGATGATGTCAAGCTCCTGTCATCATGATGCTGGCGCTCCTTTCCACCCTTTTGAGAATCCGTATTTTCCACTTCTCCGTGTGTGCCACGCGTTCCAAGGACGCCTCAAGAATGACACAATTTGTTTCGTTCACATTTGGAACAGCAAACAAGGACTTCATAACATTTTGGGGGCAAAACCTCGTTAATAATTACCTCAGTGCGTATTGGTTAAAATTAAATTGATTTTATAAATAGACTCGGAAACAATAATAATTGCTACATGCTATCACGTTCATGTTCATGGGCTTTCTAATCACCTCAAAAGAATTAAAAAAATTAGCAAATTTAGCCAGTGATATCGAATTTGTCCATGATTTGTATGTTGTTTTTTTAGGATACAAGGGACTTCCCCTGATCAAAAGGCAGTAATTATCTTTCAGAATCAATTAATTATAATGAAGAAGGAAGGGATGAGTTTGGCAAATGGCAATGGCGTTGGATGTTTTACTTCACCTTTGATGACTGAAGGATTGGCATTAAAAAGAGGGTATGGAGTTGAGATCCAGATATGATGCAACTCTATAGCTGGCCGTGGATGGCAGAGTGGGGATTCTTTGCACAACATTTATTTTTCTGCGGAGGCAAGTCAGGGAAGTGAAGCTTTGTGATATTCCATCCTCTGTTGTTCCTGTGTTACGCACGGATGCTGATGCCAGTTTGTCTGCTGTCCGTAATTCACATGGATTCGTTTAGAAGGCCGTGGGCTCATGCTGCTGCATTTGTTTGCTTTTTTTTTTTTTTGCTTTTCTTTTCATTTTATTTTCTATACGCTGTATCTTTAGGGTGTTTTTTTATTTTTTAAAATTCTTTCTCAATTATTCAGTGCAATATTTTTGTTATAATAAAAAGGGCCGTTTTCGGCCGAAAACATATAGTGCTCTCTGGCCATGGCACTAAGGCCTACTTAAATTGGGCTTGTAAAAACTGGCCGGCCCAAGATGTTTTAGACTCCATTGGCCTGATTCCCCTCGTAAAGATTTTGTGTTTAGCCCTCTCGGATCAGGATCGATGGTATTTATTAATGTTAATTAATTATTACGAATCTTAGTTGCAGGAAAGCTGTCAAACAAGTCCTTTCATCTGGCGTCAGGTACATGGATTGGAATCTTAAACCGAACCTATTAGGAGGATTGATGTCCAAAAAAATTGAAGGACAGGTAAAATTCCACATGAATCAAACATAAATCAAATTTAAGAAACACAAAATCTTGGAATTTTTATGTAAATTAGCATTACTTACTAGTCAACATTAATTATCAAATTGCAACTATTAATATTGAGTAATTATGCTTAGCACTTCATCCTAATGATTGGGTCTCATTGAATAAAGCATAATAAGACATAAATTAATCACTTTATTCAAAGTATGATAAATGCATGAATAATACTCTTCTCATGATTCAGATTATTTCTCATACTCGCGTCCACGCATCACTGAGACCTCCAATGCTTGCCATTCTCAAAGCCATTCCTGCAATAATGGAAGTCCTCCATGGCCTTCTCAATCTCAGAATGAGTGTTCATCACAAAAGGGCATGCTGAGCCACTGGCTCCTTTAGTGGTTCCCCAGCTATGAGCAGAAACCTCAGAGCCTCAGAAGATTGTTCCACACACTCACACCATCTCCAGGCCCCAAGAACACCACATTGTGCTGACCAATCGGTGATGAGCTCGGAGATCCAAACACTCCTTCTCCGTCAAGCACGTACGAAGGAGGAATTCCAAGACTCTGGAATGTTCTGGTGCACCTGGGCTTGAGGGCTGACCTTGAAATCAAGAAACATGGCTGGAGTTCTTGTGTGTACCGCTGATTGAACCCCTAGTGCTTCGCCTGCTATCACTTTTACTTCAAACCCATCTTTCTCTGCTTTTGGAATGTTCTCGCTTAGCAGATCTTGATACTTTGGTTCAATCCTGCAGTGCAATTTCAATCCCCATTTTTAGGTCCCACAAGTCTTTTCAGCTTAATTTACTCCTACGTCCTGCCTAGCAATAGCATGCATGGTCACTTCAAATAAAAGATCTTTGTTTGCATTTGTGTCGCATGTTGGACATCATACTTGATATGACACATATATTTAAGGTTCAAGTTCAGACTTAGCTCAACTTGAAACTCTCGGAATTTTGATCCGGCCTTGTTTCTAACTTCAGAATCACAATCAATTTAGTTTGTGAAGTAGTATGGTTTAGACACTGCAGGCATCTCTTAAAACTGAACTCAATTTTTTGCCTGAACCCAATCCTCAGATGAAGTCTTCAATATGAAACAAAGCCAGGTCTAGATAATTCAAGAGACTGGACTGTCATAGATGCTCAACAGTCATCAAAAGGTGATTGGAACTCAGAAGTGCTATCTTAATACATGAAAAAGCAACCGAGCAAAAGTGTTTTTACATTTTGTCCTTCTTGGGAAGATTGATCCATAGCTGCACTCCTGTATGAGTACCCACTCCTGCAGGCATCTCAGAGTGAATGATCCCTCTGCCTGCAGACATCCACTGCACCAAAAGGAGGGAAAAAAAAATTGAGGTGTTTTGATTCTGCTGAAACTGGATAAAAGACAAGGTATAAATGATCTCTTAATGCTACTCACTTGGACATCACCAGCTCTTATTGTTCCTTTATTTCCAGCGAAATCTTGATGAACTATCGCTCCCTAATATTCACCCACATCAACAAAGAATTAATGAATCTCAAAACTGTCCACTTCTTTCTCCCTCACAAATAAACAATCAAACAGGCCATGAGCTTCAAAAATGTGTATACCTCTAGCATATAGGTGACTGTCTCAAACCCTGAAAATCATGAGCAGATCAAGATGTCAAGAAATAGACCCTACAACTACAAGGTATCCAAATCCAGCAGTGACCACTAAAAGGTGGTGCTCTATCTGCACAGTCAGTACCTCTATGCGGATGATCAGTGAATCCTCCAGGTGAGTCACTGCAAGTTCAAACCAGTCAAGGGCTTAAAATTCTGAGACTAGTAGCTAATTAGTGAACTAGTAAGATTGCGCGTCACAATCAGGAGTACCTGAAAAGTGATCCAGATTCAGAAAAGGATCCAAACCCTTGAACTCACTTCAGCACCAAATGGAAATGACAGAAAACCATGAGTCCCCACATGGAGAGAAAAACAAGGAAAAAGAATGAGCCAGAAGGAAAAATAACATAAAAAAAAAAAAAATCAGATAGACATAACAGTCTAAAAACTATACCTTGCAATATTCCTGTTAACCATTAGACGACTTCCTCCATTCACATTTCTGGCAAACACCACCTTGAGTACCGATCTGGGTTTGCTAAACGCAGGCGATTCATCTGACCGAGACATGGTATTCTAACAAAAGAGAGAGCTTCCCTGCTATTGATGTTTCTATGGGCAGAAGTAGAATAGATAGAATGACTCCAATTGAACCCCAAAAAAGTTCCTTATGGCTCTCATAAGCTGAACTTAGGGGGACCTTTGATCCCTTAGCTTGCAAAATTATATATTTATATATCCTGGAGGGGGATGATTTTCAAAGTGTTCGACGCATTAAAGTTGAAAATCGAAGGCCCGCTTTGGACCAAGCACACGATAGATCGTTCTTGTATCATTAAAAATATATAATAAAACGATAATAGATCATCCCTGTGTCACAGTGTGGGAGTTCTCTGTCACAAAGTCAAAAGTTGAATCCATAATCTTCTTATCCCAGCGAGCGAGAAATAATCAGGCAATGTGTGATCTATCCCCTAGTGTAAAGCATAAGTGACATGGAGTTCATGAATAATATAGCAAGTGGGATTGTTAACTTTATACCTCTCTCTCACACATATCGGTCCGTATATAGTGACCAAAAAGAAAGCAGAGTTGTTGAGAAGGTTCTCTTTGTAAAGCACGAATATACTGTACTAGGATATACAATGTTTCTGAAGTTCGATGATGAATTATGATTTAAATATTGTAAATTTACGGGAAGTTTTTTTAAAAAAAGAGTTTTTTTTTTATATTTTATAAAAAAAATAAAAACGAGAGTGAACTTTACATAAACTTAATCAACGACCGATCTCAATTTCATCGCATTAAGTCCCAGAAAGGTGGATTCATTCAATGGACAATATTAATTATATAACATTAAACGTTTTTCTTATTTAAACCGAAGCAAATATTCCAATTTGAAAATTTTTCTCTGATAAAAAAACAGACTTCCAATGGTTTTAATAAGTTTTATGCTTTCTTCAGAAGGCATATAATTCGCAAAAACAATTGATCTTGACGATAAACT